AATGCTCACTTTGTAAATGAGGAACATCTCACCTGAATGCTTCAACATTTTGCTAACAACTTTTGCATTTATGTTATTTTATCAATTATCAATAAGGTTTATTACAAGTAGCTGTAAGTCATTTAAATATAGATCTAGTATTGTTTATAGTTAAACAATAATTTTATCCATTTATTTACAAATATAATTGTGCATATAATGCTGAATAATCTTTTTTCAACTTTTTGTATAATTTGTTGCCAGTTTTAAGCACATTATATTTTTTAATTGAAAGTTTTATTTGGTTTAAAAAATCAGCTGTTAAAATTAATTTTTTTATACCTATCCAGTCACAGTGGCTTGCCGTCATAAGATTATATGCAGCCCTTTTAAAAATATTTTTTTTAAAATTTGATTCTTATTAAAATTAGTATAAATGCAAATTTACTAAGCAATTTTTTAAGACATTTAATTTAACCATCTTTTCATTTCTTATTAGAAGTGATTAGTCTTGAGTTCTATATCCCTCATAACCTTACTAACTTTTGTCTTCTTCTATGAGCCTCCTAAATATAGACTATTCTCTATTACTCTAAGTCAAGCACGATGGTGCACAACTCAGTTTCATCTGCTGTCACAGTAGTCTATGATGTATATCATCATCATCTGATGTATCACTGTAGCATCTAATGACACATCTCACAATGTTTTACAACATCATCCGATGCATAACAATAATTGGCTTGTCACATTTCACAATATTCTGCAATGTATTACATAATCTGATGTGTCACAGTATCATCAGAAGACACTTGTCACAATATTCTGCAATGTATTACATAATCTGGTGTGTCACAGTATCATCAGAAGACACTTGTCACAATATTCTGCAATGTATTACATAATCTGGTGTGTCACAGTATCATCAGAAGACACTTGTCACAATATCCTACGATGTGCTGCAACATCATCTGATGTGTCCATCTTTGGTTTCCATGTTTTACATCTTTGATGAATTCTTTGTAGTGTCAAATAGTTTTCACTCTGTTTAGTTTTGTGGAAAAGCTGATGCCCTTTTTTGGGTATGATTTATTGGGTCCATAAAGTACATTTTTTAATTGATAGAACTCATTCTTCAACCTTGTTTTGGCAAAGTTATTACACGCAGATAGGCAAATACATGCAGGTAGTCCAACAGTTTACATCACACTGCTTAAAACTCCACTTGTCTTGAACAACCAACTCCTATAGTCTTCAAAGTCAAATGTCGCCACATGAAACCCCACTTGTTGCATATGGCAAAGCCCATTTATCCTATCTGAAAACAGGTAACAAATCCCACTTATCCAATGTGACAAACATGACAAATCCCACTTATCCAATGTGACAAACATGACAAATCCCACTTATCCAATCTGACTAACATGACAAACCCCACTTTTCCAATCTGACAAACATGATACATCTCACTTTTCCAATCTGACAATTATGACAAATCCTACTTTTCCAATCTGACAAACATGACAAATCCTACTTTTCCAATCTGACAAACATGACAAATCCCACTTTTCCAATCTGACAAACATGACAAATCCCACTTTTCTAATCTGACAACACACGACAAAGCTCACGATAATTATAATTTATTTTAATGACTAAAGCTTAGCATGTATCATTATAAATTGCTCTGTGACTTAATTTATAAAATACTGCTTTTCTAAGTAACAAGAAATTTTAGTTGTGCCACACCATGTTTAGAATAGCTGTATGCCTTTAAAAAACATGGGCTTGGAAATCTCTATTCATTTGAAGATATAAAAAATGTAGTTTTGAACTCTAGCGAAATAGGTACATGATGCTTTTAGCATACAAATGGTGATGGTGCAGCTAGACAGTAGAGAACTCTAAACCAAAGGTTATAGTTCAGATCCCAGACTTGAATGTGTAAGAAGTCACTGAATCCACCCATTAGAGCTGGGTACCTGAGATTCCTCTTAGTGAAAGTGAAAGCAGATGAGCATAGTAGTGATAACGCTATCCTTTCATAGGCCAAGTTGCAGAAACAGGTGGACTCTACTTCATCTGCCATATTGAACTTCTTGTCTGAAATAGTAACTTTACTTATTTACATATCATACAAATAATGTCTTTTACCCTTAATATGATCTAGTATGTGGTAAAGAATTCAAAAGATGAACTTAAGTACAAACATCTCACTTAGAGTTATGTGGATTTTATGAAAATCTCATAAAAACAAAGACTAAAATAAGGTTTAATTGAAACATTGAAATTAATTTTATTACAAGACTGTGCATTTTTAAATAGCACATAAAAAGCCATTGGGCTACCTATAGGAAAATCAAACCCACAAAGTCCATTGACAGATGCTTTTAAAAATGGTTTAATGAAAGAAAAAAATCTGTCACTAGCTTACTGTTGATGGGGTATTGCTAGTAGGATGGTAAGAAACAATAGCTTACTGTTGATGGGGTATTGCTGGTAGGATGGTAAGAAACAATAGCTTACTGTTGATGGGGTATTGCTGGTAGGATGGTAAGAAACAATAGTTTGCTGTTGATGGGGTATTGCTGGTAGGATGGTAAGAAACAATAGCTTTCTGTTGATGGGGTATTGCTAGTAGGATGGTAAGAAACAATAGCTTACTGTTGATGGGGTATTGCTAGTAGGATGGTAAGAAACAATAGCTTTCTGTTGATGGGGCATTGCTAGTAGGATGGTAAGAAACAATAGCTTTCTGTTGATGGGGTATTGCTAGTAGGATGGTAAGAAACAATAGCTTTCTGTTGATGTGGTATTGCTAGTAGGATGGTAAGAAACAATAGCTTGCTATTGATGGGGTATTGCTGGTAGGATGGTAAGAAACAATAGCTTTCTGTTGATGGGGTATTGCTAGTAGGATGGTAAGAAACAATAGCTTTCTGTTGATGGGGTATTGCTAGTAGGATGGTAAGAAACAATAGCTTTCTGTTGATTGGGTATTGCTGGTAGGATGGTAAGAAACAATAGCTTACTGTTGATGGGGTATTGCTGGTAGGATGGTAAGAAACAATAGCTTACTGTTGATGGGGTATTGCTAGTAGGATGGTAAGAAACAATAGTTTGCTGTTGATGGGGTATTGCTGGTAGGATGGTAAGAAACAATAGCTTTCTCTTGATGGGGTATTGCTAGTAGGATGGTAAGAAACAATAGCTTACTGTTGATGGGGTATTGCTAGTAGGATGGTAAGAAACAATAGCTTTCTGTTGATGGGGTATTGCTAGTAGGATGGTAAGAAACAATAGCTTTCTGTTGATGGGGTATTGCTAGTAGGATGGTAAGAAACAATAGCTTTCTGTTGATGGGGTATTGCTAGTAGGATGGTAAGAAACAATAGCTTTCTGTTGATGGGGTATTGCTAGTAGGATGGTAAGAAACAATAGCTTTCTGTTGATGGGGTATTGCTAGTAGGATGGTAAGAAACAATAGCTTTCTGTTGATTGGGTATTGCTGGTAGGATGGTAAGAAACAATAGCTTACTGTTGATGGGGTATTGCTGGTAGGATGGTAAGAAACAATAGCTTACTGTTGATGGGGTATTGCTAGTAGGATGGTAAGAAACAATAGTTTGCTGTTGATGGGGTATTGCTGGTAGGATGGTAAGAAACAATAGTTTGCTGTTGATGGGGTATTGCTGGTAGGATGGTAAGAAACAATAGCTTTCTGTTGATGGGGTATTGCTAGTAGGATGGTAAGAAACAATAGCTTTCTGTTGATGGGGTATTGCTAGTAGGATGGTAAGAAACAATAGCTTTCTGTTGATGGGGTATTGCTAGTAGGATGGTAAGAAACAATAGCTTTCTGTTGATGGGGTATTGCTAGTAGGATGGTAAGAAACAATAGCTTTCTGTTGATGGGGTATTGCTAGTAGGATGGTAAGAAACAATAGTTTTCTGTTGATGGGGTATTGCTAGTAGGATGGTAAGAAACAATAGCTTTCTGTTGATGGGGTATTGCTAGTAGGATGGTAAGAAACAATAGCTTTCTCTTGATGGGGTATTGCTAGTACGATGGTAAGAAACAATAGCTTTCTGTTGATTGGGTATTGCTGGTAGGATAGTAAGAAACAATAGCTTACTGTTGATGGGGTATTGCTGGTAGGATGGTAAGAAACAATAGCTTGCTGTTGATGGGCTACTGCTAGTAGGATGGTAAGAAACAATAGCTTACTGTTGATGGGGTATTGCTAGTAGGATGGTAAGAAACAATAGCTTTCTGTTGATGTGGTATTGCTAGTAGGATGGTAAGAAACAATAGCTTGCTATTGATGGGGTATTGCTGGTAGGATGGTAAGAAACAATAGCTTACTGTTGATGGGGTATTGCTAGTAGGATGGTAAGAAACAATAGCTTACTGTTGATTGGGTATTGCTAGTAGGATGGTAAGAAACAATGGCTTACTGTTGATGGGGTATTGCTGGTAGGATGGTAAGAAACAATAGTTTGCTGTTTATGGGCTATTGCTAGTAGGGTGGTAATAAACAAAAGCTTGCTGTTGATGGGCTACTGCTAGTAGGATGGTAAGAAACAATAGCGTGCAATTGATGGGGTATTGCTGGTAGGATGGTAAGAAACACTAGCTTGCTGTTGATGGGGTATTGCTGGTAGGATGGTAAGAAACAATGGCTTACTGTTGATGGGGTATTGCTGGTAGGATGGTAAGAAACACTAGCTTGCTGTTGATGGGGTATTGCTGGTAGGATGGTAAGAAACAATAGCTTGCTGTTGATGGGGTATTGCTAGTAGGATGGTAAGAAACAATAGTTTTCTGTTGATGGGGTATTGCTAGTAGGATGGTAAGAAACAATAGCTTTCTGTTGATGGGGTATTGCTAGTAGGATGGTAAGAAACAATAGCTTTCTGTTGATGGGGTATTGCTGGTAGGATGGTAAGAAACACTAGTTTGCTGTTGATGGGGTATTGCTGGTAGGATGGTAAGAAACAAGCGCTGCGCTATTTTTCAGTGTTACTGCAGCAAAAAAAGGTGGTGGCTTTGGGTTTGCCATGGCCAAAAGGTCTATGGTCAGTCAAGAAGACCATGGACAGAACCTGAGAGAAAGCAATTTCTGTTATGATGCCCCTCCTGCTCCCCCACCTATGGCCATGGCTATGGCAGCGCCAATACAAATGGCAGACATTCAGGTTTGTGTCTGCGGATACTTTTTTCACTTACGGAAGACCCTTCTGACTTTTAAATCTCAACTTTTAAGCTACTTCCATGGTGCTGTCTCTCTGCGCCTATTTGATTTCTCTCATAAGCCTGTTATGTCTTCAAATGGTATGATCAGTTTTCCTGATTATTGTACCATCCTTATGTCGTTCTTATGCTCATAATTGGTGCCATCTGCCTGCTCGTATGGCAAGCCTGTCTAACATACTGTCAACACCATTCAACAGCACGTTTCATTTCTTTGAAAGAAAAAAAATAGCATGCATACTGTTGGCTTTCCGATTACAATCAGCAAAAAAAAAAAATAACATTTTGACTCAAACATTTTGTAAAAAAGTAGACAACAATAATTATAGGAACTCTTGTTGTTGTAACATATTGAATCAAAGTATATAAGTTTCTGGGACAGGCTTATCCTAATGTGATCTGTTAACTTTAGAGACAGAAAGAGTTGAAATGTTCAGCTCATCATTATGTAGCTGTAGGTCTGCCTTGATCCTGTTATGTTAACAGCCAGTGTGTCACATTGGACAGTGAATTATGTTATTGTTCCTTTATAAGCAATGCATTTTTTTCTAACAAACTATTAACTAGGTGTCTGACTAGGTGGCATTAACTAGATTAGATGTTGGAAGCTTAACAAAGGGATAATAATTACCTGCAGCCCTTTACTATAAAGAAATATAACAATTTATCTTTAAACTTAAAAAAAACCCTGACTTTGTACACTTTTCTATAATAAGATGATGATGTACAACAAATTTTTGATGCTGTGTAATACATTAAAAAAATGCATGTATGATGGTGTAAAATACATGTATGATTGTGTAAAATACATGTATAATGAAGCAAAACATGTATGATGGTGTAGAACTTTGAATGATGGTGTTGAATATGTGTAAGCTGTGTAGAACATGTATGATTATGTAGAACATATGTATGATGATTTAGAGTACATGGAAGACATGTATGATGATGTAGAGTATATGTACGATGATGTAGAACGTATGATGCCATAGAGCATATGTATAATAGTGTAGAGCATATGTATAATGATGTAGAGTATATGTATGATGGCGTAGAACATATGTATTGTGGCATAGAGGATATGTATGATGGCGTTGAGCATGATGATGTAGAGTATATTTATGATGGCATAGAATATACTTATAATGGCGCAGAGCATATGTATGACTGTAGAACTTGGTCTATCACACAGGCGTAGCTCTACTACAAGATCTTTTAGAAAAATGGCTAGCTTTAGAGCAAGGCCTGCAGCCTATGCTGCAGAGGCCAGTGTAATGTCTGACTATGCCATTGCCCCTCGTGCAGTAGAGGCAGCCCCTTGTCCAGTACAGGTCAGTCCAGCACAGTTATGCAGCTTTCATATTGCTGAGTTCTTGTATTATTCTATGGGGATAAATCTTGTCTCAGGAATTTAAAAAGCCTTGTACTAACATCAGCCTAACATTTTTTTTTATTGTGCTTATTGTCCAAGCTTATACACTCCCTGTAAAGTGAAATGGCCAGATACATTTTAATAATTGTTGTCAAAAATGTTTTTACTGCTTTGAACTGTTGTTAGTTGTGTGTATATAACCTGCTTCCTGTATTAGTATACATTGTATTTCTAACTGTAGCACAACGCTTGCCTTTCAAAAACTTTTTACATTGATGTCATCTGACAATTTTTCATGATTTAATTCTCATGCACTTCAGTAAAGGGACATAAATATGCCAATACCAGAGAGCAATATAATTAAACTACTAATTTATAGCTACACATTATACATAATTAAAACCCATAAAATAACATTTTAAAATGAACATTAAGTATGCTTTTGAAATTGAAATATTTTGTAATTTAAAAATAGCTACATTATTCTAAAAGTTCTAAAAAATAAATAAATCGTCTTCTTATTCTTCGTTCTTAATTTTTAGTGTTGGAAGGGATTGAGCCTTAACTGCCAGAGGGTTTGAACTCAAGACTTTTATTATAAAAAATAAATAAATAAATGAAAGCTAGCTGAAAGGGTTAAAGATGACTTGTCTTATCTAAATGAGAAAATTCTTTGTTGCTTGTAAAAGCTTCTCTTGAGTATTATTTTATGATTGCTTCAATACTTTAAAGGATTCCATCTTTTTTACTTTCGTCCTTGAATTCAATAAGGTTGAGGCCATTTATTGTCCTGAAGCCTAGCGGACACAAAAACAATGTGGCTGTTCAGATATCCTTCTGCTACATGATGGACTTTTCCAAACATGTCGTTGTACTGAGAGTATGTGGTGACAATGCACCATGATTGATATAAGACTTCCTTCTGGTTTTTGTTCAGTTGTGAACTGTACATTCCTTTTTTTCTCATCCAGTATCTGCTTGGATCTATATAAGCTGACAGCACTGGATATCTAGTATCTGCTTGGATCTATATAAGCTGACAGCACTGGATATCTAGTATCTGCTTGGATCTATATAAGCTGACAGCACTGGATATCTAGTATCTGCTTGGATCTATATAAGCTGACAGCACTGGATATCTAGTATCTGCTTGGATCTATATAAGCTGACAGCACTGGATATCTAGTATCTGCTTGGATCTATATAAGCTGACAGCACTGGATATCTAGTATCTGCTTGGATCTATATAAGCTGACAGCACTGGATATCTAGTATCTGCTTGGATCTATATAAGCTGACAGCACTGGATATCTAGTATCTGATGACAATGGATACAAAAAAGCGAAAATAATTTTCTTAAAATTTATTTTAATGGAAGAAAAAAAAAACCCTGCGTTACATATTAAAAATACATATCACCTAAATATTTCCGAAGTAAAAAGAGTATAGTTTTATACAGTTTCTAGTCATATAGCTAATTTGAAATTTTTCTTTTCATTAGTATCTGTGTTTGAACAAAGCAGTGAAATTAATTAGACCATCACCATGTCCACTGTCCTTATCTTTCCTGATTGGAAACAAAATTCTAAACTATTAAACCTCCTATTTTAAAATGAGGCCTCCAAATGAAGATGCTACAATACCACATGGTTAATTTTTTTACCCAGGTCTTATTCCCTCAAGACAAATTTTGCTTATGATGGTGATGATGATGATGATATAGGCATGGATGAGTTGATGCCAGTTAGGAGAAGGCTAAGTGCCCCTAGGTCTGGCTCAGTGCAATGGGATGGAGCAGAAATGGCAACAGCACAAATCAATGTGTGTGAGCTACCTGCCCCCATGCTTTCTCATTGCTTCTTATTCTTATTGATCAATATTTAGTCATGTGATTGGTCAGATTTTTTTGCCATTTGATCCCAAATTTTTTTAGCATTTTTTTTGTTACCGCTACCATAAAAAAAATGGGTTAGTATATTGCATGAAATTTATCTTATCTAATTTTCAAAGGAGCTAGTTACTTTTAACAGTAAAAAAGAAAATCCAGATATTATTGAAATTGAAATTATAACAGATGAAAACGGTTTAAAACTTTTTACTTATTAATATTTATTTTATGCACATTTATACTGCATGCTGATCATAACTTGTGATTATATAAGTCCTGTGGGTCACTTTTCAAAAATATTTCTCTATCAAAGGCAAAGTGGTGATGACAGTTTTAGTTATTTTAGTTTTACTGCAGTCTGGCTAAGGGTTCAAAATGGTGGTGGACATTTTTTTTTCTTGCATGTGGTATAATTACAGTACACTAGTTTGGCTACTATTCCCTCTTCTTACAGAATTTTTATAAAATAAATCACATCCATTGGTTAATATATAAGTCAATATGATGTTTGTAACAAACGCCATGTTTTTATGCTGTTTGTTAATCGTACAACTAGATGGTACAGTATGACATTGTGTTAGCTATGTTGTAAAAGTTGTGAACATAAATACTTCTTAGCACAGTCATTTATATGTACTATTATTTATGCTTCAAAAAAAAACATTACATTTTCCCATATGCCCTTTTTTTGGTATAGCTATTTTTCAATCAGTCTTTTTATTAGTAACATCTATTTACTTATCTGGAATCACCCTATTATATAGCAAAGCTTTACCACACAGTGTTAATTTAGTAATCCAATAAATCTATACTTATGGTATCGCTGTAGAAACAAACCCTTCCCTAAACAATTTTTATTATACAAAGCCAACAATAATATAGTATGTTAACTAGGCTCTAAATAAAAAATGTTTAAACAATTACACGGGGTTCACGTGCAGGCAGGTATTACCAGTTTGAGCATCTTTTTACTGATCTCTTTACCTGTTTCATCTGTCCAGTTTTTTTACCCATTTTATTTCTCAGCCTATTTAGCTCTTTATTTTATAATTAGTGTTTACTACTTTTCAGTTTCATAAAGTAACTAATATTATTATAGATGTCAAAAATATTTTAAACATAGATTAGATGGAATTTTAAATTTAGATTTTAAGTGTATAGAGTGTAGTATTTTAAGTAATATTTTTATAAACTTAATTTATTTCGTGTAAAAATAATATTGTAGTTTTGTTTTCATACATTTCTGTACTATAAGGTTTAAATATTTATTTTAAAAATAGTGTGCATTTATATCCTTTGTTTTGCTTTAAAATATAAAAATCAATTGCTTTGTAGATTGCATACAGTTCAGTTTAATTGATTAATTATAAAAATATGAATTTACAATCTGTGATTTTTATGTCCCATGCCACCAATTTTTATAGGCTATATGCATGTTGCTATTTCATTTTCAAATATTCATACGTCGAGAACTTTTTAGATGTTTGTAGAAAAATGTGTAAGTTTGATAAATTTAACTTTTTGAGACACTGAATATAAAATAAGGCACAAATTAAAACTGGAGATAGTAGTACATAAAAGCTAAAAAATAACAACAATAAAATCAATTAATATCTTCCAGGTGGCTTTTGTAATAATTAAAACCCATACTTTTTATATTATGTCCATGATTAGTCTATGATTACAAAAATGCAAAAGTATGCTTTAAAAAGAGATTATTTTAAAAAAAAAATTGTTTAAAACTAGAGAGAATGTAAAAAAATTAAAATTAAAAAAAAAAAAAAACAATTTAAATTTAATACAATTGAAAAAATTACTTCCTATTGACATCTGTTCTATAACCCATCTGTAGGTGACAGAAAGCACCACCAGTACAACCTATGAAATAGCTCGCCAGTCTACCATCCCAAGTGACAATACTGAGCATAAGGTAGGTAACTCTACACACTTTTTTTCTACAGCAGCATGAGTTGTAGAACTTTGATTTTCCTTTTTTTTTTCATTCAGTTCATCAAAGTTTCATTTATGGAGTAATTAAATCACCATTTTAGACTTATTGGTCCATAGAGGAATTAAAGTTAAGTTTCTTTTCAGTGTGTCTGTAGTTCTTCAACTTATTTAGGTACCTTTGGTGCACTCAGATAATAATTATGTAACAAGACTTATGTACAAGGCAAGACTTTTGTGTTGGCACCATTGCGTTATAACCCCTTGAGCACCTGAAACCTTGTAGTAAAGGAGATTTTTTAAAATACCTGTATGTTCTCCAGGTCACAGTGGCCATCATTGACCTCAAGCCCACCCTGAGCTACCTGACCATACCCAAGGTTGTGCCTCATGCCTACCTGCAGGCTAAAGTGACCAACAGCTCCCCCTACACCCTGCTGGCTGGCAGGACCAACATCTTCCTGGACAACAGTTTTGTGGCCAAGGTCAGTTATCATGCTCTGTGGTTTACAGCAAACCGTTTTTTTTTAGGTTAGCTAGTTTTTGAAAATGGGATATTTGTGAATGTGCCTTATTTTTTATGTCTTAAGTGTTCATATGAAGTTTAACTTAAATGTAAGTGAGAAAAAATAATTTTAGTACACTATACTTTTAGTATTTCTTTTTTCTTTCTTTTGAATTTTTTATTCTTTTTTATTTCATTTGCTGTCAGTTATGTTTTTTGGCTAGTGGCTAAGTTGTTTAACTCTTATTGGATCTTTAAACTGACTTTAGTTAAGATTATTAACACTATTCCAATACACTTTGAATTAAAGATCATTGGCATTAATTCATTTTTTTTTAAATAGGTGAGTAGAACACAGTTGAGAGACTTCATTGTCCATACCTTCATATTTTTCTGTGCTTGATTTGTTTAGGCTGAAATTAATGCCGTCTCCCCTAAAGAAGAATTTGAATGCTCACTTGGTGTTGACCCAGGGGTCAGGGTGGACTACAAACCTCTGATCAAGGTCAACTCCTCATCTGGCATCATTTCAAAGACTCAGATCATCACGTACGAGCAGGCCATAGAGATCAAGAACGTGCACGACTACGCGGTCAAGGTTCTGGTCAGGGACAACCTGCCACGCAGTTTGGATGAGAAGATTAAGGTCTGATTACATTCATTTGTATAAAGAACCTTTCAATTCACCCTATCCTATAGAGCAACATGATTGTCAGTTTTTATATTAAACAGCCTCATTTGTCTTGCACATCTTGAACTTCTGACTAGTTGGTGTACACTCTCTCTCTATATACGGAAACCGGCTCAGAAGGTTGATTTCCATTAGCCAGGCAGGCCTCAGTGCAGCAAACCCCGACCACAAGAGTTTCCCACACATCGGTCGCTACTTCCGTCGGCTCTCACCGGGCTTTCCTTCCCCACCCACCAGACGCGGGACGTCGTCCTACCGCCTGGTACCAAGCTTGATCGTGGGGGGCGTTCGGCCAGATCAAAAACCTCTAGCTGCTGTTGGCTACCACTAGCCATTCCGCACCCATTAGGGGGGTCATGAGCTTGGTCCGACTAGTGGCACTCTTCCGAAGCCACATGAAGGCCGCAGCTTAAAGTCAAAATATCTGGTTAGAGTCGAGAGCAAACCCTTTTTGGTTCCCGGCAGTCTTGCACCTCTCCTCTCCCACGCTATAATGTAGGGGGACTTGGGAGTCCGACGTACCAGGCTCTTCGGAAGTTGGTGTACACTAGAGCTTGGAACATTTTAAAGCATTTCTCCATCAACAGATTACTAAATCCATTTAGGCGTTTATTTCCAAATCGTTTAAAGTTAAATTTAATCCAAAAATATTATTTTACACAGATAAATCCAATCCAACATTTTATTTCTGCACAGGTGAACCTACTAGTCCCGGCTATTGACCTCAAGCACCCAGAGAAGAGCGAGAAAGTTAAACTGACCAAGAACAACCACATTGAGTGGGAAGTTGAGCTTAAGGGCACAGAGAAGTCGGAGCTGGTTCTGAAATACAGTGTGGAGCACCCTGCCAACGAGGACCTGGAGACCACCACAACCATGGCTAACTAGTCTTTCACACCTAGTGAAATGACAGTAATGGCCAGTTTAAACAATTCAAACCTTTTAAAAATTAAATAATTCAAAAATTTTTAAAAATGTTTTTACACATAACTTAGTTTTTGCTTAAAAAATTATCAGGTAATTAACAAATTTAGCTTAATGAAAAACAAAATTAATATGTTTTAAATGACTGGGAACAACAACTTCATCTTCATACTTAAAGAATCTTATATCTTAGGCTTGGTTTAAGTAACTGTTGCTTGCAGCTTGTTTTGATTTACAAAAATGTATTGATGACTGTGCAATAAAACAGAGTTTGTATCACATCAAAATAAAGAGCTAAACATTAGGGCGGGGAATATTTTTAAAGTGCTGCTACTGAATAGAACACAGGAACTGATTCTATTATATTTGTTGTTATATTCTGGCTACAAATTTCTTTTGTTTTCAGGTATTGTTTACTATAGCACAAAATTGTTCATGTTTTTTTTTTTAAATTCTTTATAAAAATTATAGTGCTCAAATTATATAAATTAAATAGATAGCATGCCCATTTTATTAAAAAAATTGTATCATTTGTATCTATCTTTCACTCACACATTTCCACTTTGTCATGGTGCCATCTGTTTCTTTAATTACAATAAATGTATGTTAATTTTATATATCAATATTTTTTTTAGAGAAAAATCTATTTTTACGGCATATCAATTTTTTATGTGATGTCAAGGTATTTTTTTTTACGAAAAAATCCTTATATGTGATGCTAAGTTTTTAATTCTTAAATTCAAATAAATTGTTTTTTAACCAACAAATTAACCTCAAAATTGCCAGAGCTCAATATGCTATCATTAAATGTTTACTCTTAATATAATTACATTTACATGCAATTGATATTTTTTGTATTAAATTAGTCTATGTTCAAGCTTATTCTCTAACAAATTTGAATATTACTTTAAATCTAATTTATTCAGCAAATTAAAATTGGTGTTTGGTTAGCTTTTTTGACTTTCTATTTACAGAATTTTATTAGTATACTCAAAATAAGTATATAATATATGGTTCAGAGTATTTGTTTTATTTTTCTTCATAATTGTTGTAGAATGATTTTCCTCTTTTTTCTGTCAGTTCATCAAAATTTCATTACTTAAGTAATTAAGTTACAATTTTCTATAAAATGTTCTATAAAAACTTAATTTATGACTTGCAGGACATATAAGATTTTGCTGGATGCAATAGCGTTTTCAAATTTTAATAATTTTATTAAATGTTCTGAAAATAACAGATACATTTACTTCTGCTTCTATTGAAATGGTTTAATTTATGCCTTATTAATTTTAAAATTTAATTATATCAGTTTATTTCCTGCCTTAAAATTAACATGCTGCACAACAAATCAAAATTATTACTTTATGCTTGCATTTAACTAATACTCACCAATAAAGGTAGAAATACATACTACTCAATATTGCCGAATATAAAAAACTTTTTTTCAATACTTATTTGAGGTGCCTTATTTTTTTACTATATTTATTTCATTTATACTTCATTTAATGGACATTTTTGTTAGAAAATTACAAATAAATAATTCAACTGTAAGCAAAATATTTCAACAATAGTAGCAATAATTCTATTGATTATTGAATTTATGTAAACTTTATTAGTTTTTGCTGAACTAAATAGTGTCTTCGAACTTCAACTTGATTATTTTTTTTGTCTTTACACTTTTTGATGATTTTTTGAGATTTTTTTTTTCAGTTTTGGATTTTTGTTACCAGGGTAAAGGATTAACGTAAACAAAATGGCACTTGTGGTCTGCCCGTTTCTTAGTGTTTAAGTTTTTTAAACAAGGTATTTTTTTTTTACATTTCAACAAGAGGAAGATGTGAACCTTTTCAGGAAATATTCTCTCTAAATTTTTTATTAATTACTTTTGACAGGTTTCATGACCACAATATATTTTATTTTAAAAGAGTAAATTTTCTTTTTTCATGACTGTAAATATTTGTGACAATAGATTCTTTTATGGCAACTTATTTCTTACTTTAGCTTTTGATGATTTTTTTTTAATGCCCCATATGTTAAAAATGTTTATCGTAGCTGTATATGTAGTCTAGTGTACATGTTGTTTCGTGGAAGTAGAGAATACAAGTTTTTATTCCAAGTTTTTTTTTTAAAAAGCAGCACAACAGCAATTAATTATATTTGATTTATTCTTACAAAGTTAAATACAATATAAAGCTTTGGAAATAATTTGTTTTTGTAAAAATTCAGAAAATGAAGTGATCTCACATCATTCATATTAATTAATGAAACAATTTCATTTTTTCAAATAAAAAAATATTTTTTTAGCCTAATGTTTTAACAATGCTTGAAGTGTGATAGCAATTATCCATTGATTAATTGATGACCACCACTGATTGTGATATGCAATATTATTCATTATTTTGGTTCTTATAACTAAACCTAGTAAAAATCAATAAAATCACCCCAATTATTGCTTTGTTATTATTTTGTTCAAAGTGCTGTTGTCTGTAAAGTGTGTCATTATATCAATTCACTTGTTGATTCCAACAACTACATCAGATTTCTTGTTCCTGTGTCGGGGTTTGTCTAGAAGTATCGAACAAAAAGTTTTGTCAATGAATACTAGGAATGGTGCTTGTTGTTTGCACTGGTCAAGCCAATTTTATAATGCAAGATGGCTTAACATTTTTTTTCTCTTATTTTCTAATGAAAAAGACTTTAAAATGCAGTAATTATAAATTGTTAGTGCTTTATAATATACAAAACAGAATAATTGAATCCAGATCTGATGGAAATAGATACATTTTCTCAAAATATGAATACAAATGTAAGAGAATTTCGAGTAGCTTTCCAAAATATTTTTTTTATTTTTAACTAAAAACAACAACTGGCACATTGGATACAAAACGACAGATGATAAAAAAATAGCATCAGTTGCCAGTTTGGGTCGGTGACCATAACTGTATAACAAACATGTAAGTAACATGACTTTTAAAAAAATAATCATATATAGCTACACAATTTGTTCAGAAAGAAATCTGTTAGAAGTGTCATTTATCGTACCACTCTAACTTAATCATCTAAACATTGTATAATTCTGAATTTTTTCTTATGGTCTGATTTATTATTTTTTTTTTTTTTGAGGAAGACCAACAATTGAATTATATTACTGATTCCTTTGAATTAGGCTTAGTTCACTGGTATTAACTGAGAATGTGGACATACAGTTGTCAGATGGAAGCAGGCTAAACATTTTTTTATTGAAAAGAATATAAAGTATAATCTATTTGAGGAAGTCGCAGTAAATTTACTGAAAATGGTTTTTATTTTATAATTTGTTTCATCAATACATCAAAAATAAAAGTGAAAATAAAACACACAAAAATGGAATGTTTCACTCTTTGATGAAAGTTATATTTCATAGTTGAAATGACTTATTTCAAGAATCTTTATGGGGCTATTCATAACAAAGATTACTCAAGGAAGTTTTGTGTGCTTACAGGGAGACAAGTGAGTAATGAGAAGCAAAAAATGATGGAAATAGATTTAATGCAAACTGAGATAAACTAAAATTTTACTATTAAATTTCAGGTATCAGCTAACATATAGAACTTAATTAACAGATCCTGTTCTATATAGAATTTAGGTAACACATGACATATAACATATAACATAATTAAAACATCATATTCTATACAGGGTAGACTTTAGTTTTAGCTACCTAATCAATATATTCTGATCTAATATTACAATTTTGGTGTCAGCTAAACATTTATCTCTTAACTATCCAACTTCCAATGTCTGTTACAACATTGCTAAGCTGGGCTAAATAGCTTCTGGTGTAGGCTATCACATTAATATAGTAGGCTATAAAAATCTGGTGTCAGCTGTCACATAAATATGCTAGACTATTTACACAATGGATGTCTATATCAAATGTTGATGAATGAGAGATCAGATTAAAACAGTCAACTCTAACCAACTAATTTTTAAAAATTTCCACAAAAATGGCTTTACACCAAAACAATGTTTTTACTGTAACAAAAACAAGCACACAGTTATAGTTTATCAGCTGGTATTTAGAGTAACCATTATGATAATCTCTTTGCTGTTTTTTCTTTCTATTGTTATAGATGTTATACAATGGACCACTTAATTTTGATGTGGACATTACATGAATATTAGCATTAGAAACATATAATAAAAACATCACGAGTAGATCCAGCTACTACTTAAAAAATGCTGGTTATCACATTAATATAACCAAGAAAACATAATTTTTTCACCCAAATTTTTTTCACTAGATCTAGTAAGAATATAATGATCAACATAATGTTACCTCAATCTGCATTTAAAAATAAGATAAGCTGACAACAATTAATGCCAAAACTAATACTTAATTCACTGATAATTTATGATTGGTTAAAAGACTAGAGGTATATTTGGATACATTTTATTTTACATATTAATCATCTGAAATCAAAATGTTTTTGAAAAATATTATAAGTTTTGTAAATATGAAACATTAGCTTTATGGAAGAAAAGCAAATATTTTTTGGTAAAAACATTTCTTGCTTAGCAACCATGTCATTTATCTGGTTGTAAATGATGGGATGTTAAAGTTAAAAGTGGAAAAATGTAAAACAAAAAGTATAGTTTATAAGTAAAACCAAACCAAAATCACATTGAATAACTTAAAGTGATAGAAAATTAAGTAGATAGATCTCTTGAGGTTACATTTCTATGTATATTGATTTATTTGTCACCTTTGCCATTGTCACAAAATGTGTAAAAGCTCAAAGATGTATTCACACTATGTTGACACAAATCTCTTTGAATGTCTCTCTATTCTCCATTACATTCGCAATATACTGCCCCATATCCCCTCAGTTGCTTTTATTCAGTGATTTATAGTTCTGTTAACAGGTTCTCTACTGGAAGCAAATGTGACTGTTCCCCCCTCCAAACACTGGAGAGTAATAATCCTTTCCTTTGAGAATAGGTGACTGATTTAGTCCAGTCCAAGAAAATGGGGGATTGATGTGATAAGTCCACAGTAATATAAATCCATCACAAATGTTACTGGCGGGTCAGTGTTGGAGCCAATGTTTAACTATTCTGATGGGGAGCTGGGAGGAACGAACAAGGCGTATAGAAACCTCTCTGCCTAATCTGGTGTATGTCATTAATGATTATAGTCAGACAAGTATTTTGAACAGTCCCCCAACACAAAATTTACAACATCAGACCATAATGTGTCTGGATAACATAATATCATATTACACTGTAATTCAAGTGTTAAAATCCATTTTCAAAGCCCAATTCAGTATTTGTCAGGATTAGTTTTATACTTTTATACACTTTATGTTGATTACAGGAACTTATTCAGGTAATTTATTTGGATGTTTGGTAATTTTAAAATAATTAGATCTAGGTGATCCACTCCTTTTTATTAAAAGAGTAATCCCAGCTTTTAGTGTGTACCAATGTGGGGTGTGCTGGTAGGTTAGGCAAGAAGAATCACACTGCACATCAGGAACACCAGCAGAAACAAGAAAAACAAGACTCTATCAACCACAAGCGCCACCTGTCGCCACTCATTCAGTACTTCCTGACGAGCATCCTAAAATAATAATAATAAAAAAAAAACATGAGTTAATTAGACTTGGGAATGTCTAGTTGTCAAGATTTTAAACGCTATTTCTGTTTTCGTAGACTTCTTAAATTATTTCTATTTTCTTCACATTGAACCAAAACATTAAGTACAGTTTTTAAAAAAAAGCTTAAAATATATTTTCGTTAATTTAATTTGGATAACTAAAAAAAAAAAAGAAACTAAGCTACCTGCAATGCTATTTTCGCACTGAGGATACTTAAATTTCTGTTGACTTCCTCAATATCCTTTTCCACTTTGGAAGAGTTAATTCCCCTTAAATCTGAGTTACTGGGTTGTCTGTCTTGACACGTTATGGTTTTGTCAAGCCCTCTCATGCTAATGGTGTCCAGGTCAGTTAAAGGATAGTAACTGTCATTTCCAAGGCAGACCAACCTTTTTAAACTGCGCAGGAATATCTGAAGGAAAAAAAAAAACACGCAAGTTTTAAACATCTTAATTAAAAAATGGAAAATGAAAAACGTGACCTTAAAAAAAGAAACAATTTAGTTGGGGGCTATTTTAAATTAAAACCTAAATTATTGCCAATTTTCGTGTTAAAATAATGACACACTTCCACGTTAAAATAAGTGCCAAGATTTTATTTTTTTCTAAGGAGGAGAATTTCTATTTATTAAGGCAAGGTTCATCTTCAAATTACGACACACACAGCTGTGTAGTAGCCTACACCACATAAATAATGAAAACCCAAAGCATATCTGGCATATATCTTTAATATAGACTCCATTATTTAAATATGACTCGTGAGTTTATTTCTAAAAATAGACTATAACATTCCTAATCAAAAGCTGCGCGAAATTTCGCTGCAAGCTACAGTTATCGTATTCGTGCGGTTCAGCCACGGCCTTTAGAGCTCAATAACCTTTTATTTTACTTTAAAAAAAAAAAAAACTTTTCTATAGAAGAATAGCTCAGCAATATCGTGCAGCTAGATTCAGTCGTGCTCAGTGTTTACTTCGGGCATCTCTCCGGGGAGGGGGGTGGTGAACGTGTTTCAGTGGGGTACTCCACCCCCCCCCCCCCCCCACGGACAAAACAGACAAAAAAATTAATTGTATATAGAAATGATACAAGTTAACCATTTTCCGCCCCCCCCCCCCCCACCCCCCATCAGAGGCGTAGCGACCCTTCCCGGCGCCCGGGGACATACTTTCAATTTGGCGCCCCCTTGGGAGCAAATTTTCGATTTGCACCCCCCCCCCTCGAACTTTTCATTTGCACCCCCCCCCTCAAACTTTCGATTTGCACCCCCCCCTCGAACTTTTCATTTGCACCCCCCCCTCAAACTTTCAATTTGGCGCCCCCCCTAAGGTCGGCGCCCGGGGACATATGTCCCCCCCCCGCCCCCCCCCTCGCTACGCTACTGCCCCCCATAGAACAATGTCTAAAAGAAACCCTAGATCGTGCTTTAAATAAAAGATTAGACTAGAATATCGGAGATAGTGATTGAAGCTTTTTTACTTTCTCCTGACCGCAATATTTGGGATTGCAATTTTTCTATAAAAAAAAACAGGTTAATAAAAAAATAAATAAATAATAAATCAATCGAAAGCGAGATTATTACTCGCGTTTACACATTCCAGAGGCGGATTACTCAGTTTTTCAAACGTGTCTGTATATTATTTGTCTTTGTCTCTGTATGTGTGAACAAGATAACATGCGTGATGTCTCATTAAGTCGGCCGAAACTACATATACAAATATATAAGAATTAGATCTTATACTTTTAAGCTATTTCCGGTTACCGATAACAATGTTTTACTCTAACACCGGTTTCTACAAACCTTCAAAATTTGATAATTTCATGTTATATTCAAATAGAGCAGCTAGAATTTGAGTGAAGGAAGAGCAAAATTTTCTGCGGCCAAGTATTGTGTCACGTGACATTGGGTGTGGATGGGCTTTTGATCAACAATTAACAATATCATTCTGTCTATTTGCTACATTTAGGGATCGTCTGTAGATGGCATCAAACTCTAATGAAAAGAGTGATAGGACTTGTGTGTAGAGGTCGTGTGGTTAAAAAATGTGACGTCACAATTTTGCATTACATTAAGGTTGTTTTTTTTTTAACCCTAAACGTAGCTGTTAATACGCCTTTTATAACTTGAATAGGTCGGTTATTCTAATCTTTAGCTAATTTAGTTAAATATTTTAGAAGTAAATCACTGTTGTAACAAAAACGCGGTTGAGAGTGTGTGGTATCTGAAGTGTGACGTTAAATTAGGGAAAATGGGATGTCCAAGGACGGGGATATAAGTATAGGCTTACTGTGTAAACAAATAAAAACGTATGTCTTTGTGTTTGTGTTACTGTTCACACAACACTCCTCAATTGTCTTCTTTTAAATCGATTTCCGCATGCTTGGAAAATGTTTCGTGTAGGCACCTATCTCCCAAAGTTAAGTTAGTGGTAAAAAAAATAATTTTCCATTACTTTTGTTTTGCATGTGTTGTTACTATTAAATTTTCCTACTGATTTTTTGTATCAATTATTTATTTAAGAACTAATAAAAAACAATACTAAACGAATAAAAAACCAACAATAGACAATCCGGCAATCTGGTAACCATATTTGAACTCACCCATCTAACAGCATCTGGCACTTTCCCTCGTCTGGGTCCCCGATTGTGTAGATTGAGCACAAAGGCTGAGCCCATCAGCGACAAGACAGCCCAGAACATGGTTAACGTGTAGTAAATCGCTGGTGGAGGAAAGCGATAAGTGTAAAAACCCGTGCAACAATTGCTTGCAGACACGACACCGTCGTGATAACAGTCGGAGGAAACAGAAAAAAATAAATGTGCGTCTGGGAGAAGTTGAAAGAAAGGGAAAAACATGCTTCTAGTAGCAGCTGAGAGAAAAGAAAAAGGAATTTTGGGTATACTGGAAGTAGAAAGGAAGGGGGGTGTGTGGCATGGGTCTATAATCGAAAGAAAGGGTGGAGGGTGGGGACGATTTAGTACCAATTGAAGGAAAATGGGGGTAGACTGTATAGTAGCATTTGAAAAAAAGGGGTGGTGGTGGTGGGGGGAGAGGTAACGCATGGGTGTAGTTGCAGTAAAATAAAGGGGGGGGGGGTATGTCTATTACATTCGAAAGAGAGGGTGGGGGTGGAGATCGTGGGTCTAGAATCAGTTTAAGGAAACGGGGGAGGGACACGTGGGTCTAGTAGTAGTGGCGTAGCGAGGTCGGGTGTCACCCGGTGCGGCACTTAATGGTGTCACCCCCCCCCCCCAGAGGCGTAGCGACTCTTCCCGGGGACAAACTTTCAATTTTCGATTTGCATCTCCCCTCAAACTTTCGATTTGCACCACCCCCCCCCTCAAATTTTTCCCTATATATTTTACTATTTTTTGCCTTGGTGTCACCCCCCTAAACGGTGTCACCCGGTGCGGTCCACATCCCCCGCCACCCCCCTCGCTACGCCTCTGTCTAGTAGCAGTGTAAAGAAAGGGTGAAAATAATGGGCAAGCAGCAGTAAAATAGCACCGCGCGTCTACTTACAGATAGCCGGTAGCTGGTTGTAGGCCATGGGTAGAACCTCACACAGGCTGGCGTCAAGAACCATAACTCCCAACACGACCACCGAACCTTGAAGGAATTTGACGCAGAGTTATTTCATCCAATGTGTACAACGGAGATAAGGGCAAGCCATAAACTACAGTGGTGTAACAGGGCTGGGGGCTACTAGTGCAGGGGCGTATCCCGTGGAGAACTTGATATTTACCCCGCTTCCAACTTACCCGTACTCTGCCAACATGTGCTGCTAGGCAGTGGATTTGTACTATTTTGTACTAGGGAGTGGATTTGTACTGGGGAATGGATTTGTACCGGGCAGTGGATTTGTACCAGGCAGTGGATTTGTGCTGGGCAGTGGATTTGTACCGGAGAGTAGATTTGTACTGGGGGGGGGGGGAGTCTACTGGGCAGTTGACTTTTACCGGGTACGGGGCAACACATTTCTACTGGGCAATAGATTTCTACTGGCAGTAGATTTCTACTGGGCAGTACATTTCTATTGGGTAGTAGATTTCTACTGGGAGTACATTTCTACTGGGCAGTACATTTCTACTGGGCAGTACATTTCTACTGGGCAGTGAATATCTACCGGGCAGTAGATTTCTTCTCAGTACCAATCGACGTAGGTCTACCTTTATTTACCGGTTGTTAGTTTTTATTTCCATAATACAAACACATTTAATTTAGACAGGGGAAAGTCTTCTACTAGCTTCCCATTTTTCTTGCTGTAAAAAAATTAATCAATTGTTTTAAGAATAACCGCTAACTTATCTTTGTAACTAACAAAACGTAATTCGAACACCCCCTATTCATCTCAACAACTATACCATGGGAAACTAAGCATAACACGAGATCTATTTCATAATTATTTTTGTTTTTACTGATACTTCTCACCCCCCCCCCCTCCCACCACGAACCATGTTTTGTGTCCTACGGTAGTTGTTGAGCTGTCTAAATCCGCGCCCGCGGACTAACACAGTCACTTAGAGACGAAACAAGCACATCGATGGCACGAAGTCTGGCGGTGGTTGTTGGGCTGTCTAAATCTAACACAGTCACTTAAAGACGAAACAAGCACATCGATGGCACGAAGTCTGGCGGTGGTTGTTGGGCTGTCTAAATCTAACACAGTCACTTAAAGACGAAACAAGCACATCGATGGCACGAAGTCTGGCGGTGGTTGTTGGGCTGTCTAAATCTAACACAGTCACTTAAAGACGAAACAAGCACATCGATGGCACGAAGTCTGGCGGTGGTTGTTGGGCTGTCTAAATCTAACACAGTCACTTAAAGACGAAACAAGCACATCGATGGCACGAAGTCTGGCGGTGGTTGTTGGGCTGTCTAAATCTAACACAGTCACTTAGAGACAAAACAAGCACATAGATGGCACGAAGTCTGGCGGTGGTTGTTGGGCTGTCTAAATCTAACACAGTCACTTAAAGACGAAACAAGCACATCGATGGCACGAAGTCTGGCGGTGGTTGTTGGGCTGTCTAAATCTAACACAGTCACTTAAAGACGAAACAAGCACATCGATGGCACGAAGTCTGGCGGTGGTTGTTGGGCTGTCTAAATCTAACACAGTCACTTAAAGACGAAACAAGCACATCGATGGCACGAAGTCTGGCGGTGGTTGTTGGGCTGTCTAAATCTAACACAGTCACTTAGAGACAAAACAAGCACATAGATGGCACGAAGTCTAGCGGTGGTTGTTGGGCTGTCTAAATCTAACACAGTCACTTAGAGACAAAACAAGCACATAGATGGCACGAAGTTATAGCAGATCTGGCACCTACCGATGGTCACCCTCTCCTTGGATTCTGGCGGCATGAGCAGACTTATGGGCACCAGGAGTGCCAGCAGGAGGGCGGGCAGTACAAACACGTGCACGTAATAGTCCGGGTTCCGCTTGAAGGTCAGGTCAAACTGCATGTGCGGGTAGGGCTCATTACAGCAGGGGTGTTTGATGACGTGGATTGTGGCCCTGGTGAGGTGAGAGGGGGTTATAGATTTTGGTTTTTAGCAATAAATCAAAATTATAAAGGAGATTGAATACTGGTAAGATTAAGAGTTAAAAACGAAACAATTTATTTGGAACTTTTTCAAAGCATTGAACATTTTTATGATAAAAATGTAATGAAAAAAAAATTAGCCTTGTTTAATTTTTCCATAGTTACTCATGTTTAACAATAGAAAATGATTCACTTGTTGATTTTAAAATACATTAAGGTATATGAATAATTATAAAAATATATATATAGTCAACAACGAATCATTCTTTTATTTTATTTTATTTAGCGCAACAACTTCATTGACCACTAAAATTTAGTCTAATTAACATTCCATTTACACATTTCTTAAAAAAAAACCACCCAACCTACAAATCCTATAATCCGCACTTTTCTCTGTAAAAAACATCCACCAAACATTCCATGACGTTTCCACATCATTAAAAAATATTTCCTTCATCTCACCTAATCTGTCTGAAATTATTTTTGAGTGTCACTTCCCCCTTCTCCTCCCCATAATCACATATGAGTTCCTCCTCCCAACCCCACATATTCCCAACCCCTTTTTTTTACCAACCCAAACCACACTATTCCCCCATCTTACCAACCCTCCAATCACGCATCATTTTTATCACCATTCTTTTTAAAACCTTCTTTAAACAAACCTTTTCAGATCCGCCCTTAGTTTCTGTCGCCGCCAATGGTTTATATAAGAGGAACCTGTACCCTACCCCGAATGCTCAGTGGTGTAAAACAAACCTCCCCCTCCCTTTCCCACTGATCAGTAATCTAAGAAGAACTTGTACCGAATCCTCTAGTGAATGGTGTAAGGCAGGGGTCGGCAACCTTTTGAAGCGGAAGAGCCAAAAGTTACAATTTTCAAAAATTCCCTGGTCTTAAAGAGCCACTAACATTTTTTTATTTCAAATATTTTTTTTTTTTATTAAGATTATTAGTATTTGTGCAAGGAGCTGGAGAGCCGCATCTTGATATCAAAAGAGCCGCATGCGGCTCGCGAGCCGCAGGTTGCCGACCCCTGGTGTAAGGGGGTCATCCATTTATGACGCCCACACATTTTCTTGATTTTGGACCCCCCCCCCCTCCCAATCCACAAAAATCCACTAAATTCTCTTTTAAAAGTCTATATACGTCCGTAAAAGTCAATTTTTTCGGACCCCCCCCCCTCGCCCGTATGCACTTCATAAATGGATACCCCTAAGACGAAGCTGAGCCCCCCCCCCTCCCACTAGTCAATGCTGTTAGGCGAACATGTACCCTCTTCTCTATTAGTCAATGGTACAAGACGATTAGACGAACCTGTGCCCCCCACCCCCCACACCAGTGATCCAAGACCAACCTGTGGTCCAGCAACACCCAGTTGGTGTTGATGTGGTGGTCCGACACATCAAAGGCTCGATCTGGCGTCCCGCCGTAGTAGGTGATGTTTAGGTGGTCGCCGTGGTAGATGTAGCTAGAAAATCGTATGGAGCATTTCTGAAAGTTACAAATCTTTCGGTAACTAGTACAACTTAATATGGTCATATCATGTGTCCTATGTGTTATTTCTGAAAGTTACAAATCTTTCGGTTACTAGTACAATGTCATATCCTTTGTCTTTATAATGCACACTTTACATTTAGTGTGGTCTCATAATGTGCTTTATATGGAATTAAATAGTGTGATTACAAAAAAAAAATGACGTAACGTAATCTTAGCATATTTCCCCCCTCCCCTGTAGTCAAAATTCCAGATTTTTTTTCTGTCTCTGCTGTCCATGCTGTCTATGCTGTCTATGCTGTCTATGCTGTCTATGCTGTCTATGCTGTCTATGTTGTCTATACTGTCCATGCTGTCCATGCTGTCCATGCTGTCCATGCTGTCCATGCTGTCTATGCTGTCGATGGTGTCGATGGTGTCGATGGTGTCTATGCTGTCTATGCAATCAATGCTGTCCATGTTGTCTATGCTGTCGATGGTGTCTATGCTGTCGATGGTGTCGATGGTGTCTATGCTGTCGATGGTGTCGATGGTGTCGATGGTGTCTATGCTGTCGATGGTGTCGATGCTGTCCATGCTGTCTATGCAATCAATGCAATCAATGCTGTCCATGTTGTCTATGCTGTCTATACTGTCCATGCTGTCTATGCTGTCCATGCTGTCAAAACAACTTTAGGGCATCCTCACCTGCTCATCAAACGGAAACGTTCGAAGGTTAACAGAGCAGGGACTGCGCAGGTGCAGTGTGGGTATCCAGGTCACGTGACCACTGGGGTAGATCATGGCCATCGTGTCCATCAGGCTGACATCTTCATCGATGCTGCAATAGAGAAAAAATATATAATGAAAACGTTTATTTTCGAAGTGGAGGGGGGATGGTAATTATATGCGAGGCTAATAGATGTGAAGTTTTACAAAAAATATAGATCTACACCCCAAGTAATTTAAACATTTTTCTCAGTGACAGTGTGGCGCGATTATCTCTGTCACAAGAGTTCCCAATTTGTGTTCCCTCTGTTCCACGTCACACGCCCATCTTAGTTCTGTTGTGATTTATCTGTCACGCTCACGGCATCACGTGGGGTAAAAAAAAATGGATTTTATTCGCGCTTAAGGTTCGTGTGTCAGCACCGGAAGTGTCGCAAATTATGTCCTAATAATAATAGTAATCATCATCATCCTGCATCAAAATGCGCCAAGATTTTTTTTTTAACAACAATCGTTGGACAATGGAAGACAAGGGGGAGGGGGAACACATAACAGTAACATTACAAGTAAAGGCACGTGGATTGGACCACAATCATTATACATATATTCAATATAATTATATATATATATATATATATATATATATATATATATATATATATATATATATATATATATATATACTAGCTGCATCCCGTGCTCCGCCACGGTAAATCTTTTTTAAATGTACGAAGTTGGGAACAGAACAAAACTAAACACAACACAAACGAACGCAAAAAATGTACAACTTTGGAACAGAACAAAAACAAAAAACACAGCACAAAAACAAACACAACACAACCACAACCACAACACAACCACATCGCAACCACAACACAACCACAACGCAACCACAACACAAACAAAACACAACCACAACACAACCACAACACAACAACAACACAACCACAACACAACCACAACACAACCACAACACAACCACAACACAACCACAACACAACCACAACACAACCACATCGCAACCACATCGCAACCACAACACAAACAAAACACAACCACAACACAACCACAACACAACCACAACGCAACCACAACACAAACAAAACACAACCACAACACAACCACAACACAACCACAACACAGCCACAACACAACCACAGCCACAACATTAGAATCACCACCAAACAACACGCTTATTTAGGCGTCCGCGCCCAAAGAGAGCCTTTATTTAGGTCACATAAATAGATTCTACTCCATAACTTACAATAAAACAATGCGATGCAAATAAATGTACGGCAAGTGGTGTTTACTTTTATGGTTCTAAGAAAACACATTGGTAATGTAATTAGAATCACCACCGAAAAACACGCTTTTCACAGGCGTCCGCGCCCAGAGAGAGAGCCTTTTCAGCATTCTCTATACTATAATTCTAAAATTTCACCATCTGTTAACACCGAAAAACAAAAACAAAAAATAGTGATATTGATAAATCATAGACTAATTAGAAAATAATATAAATAATCTTAACATTTTTCTATTTTACTTATGAACCTTAACATATAATAATCAATGTGGAAGTAATAAAAAAAATTAACTTAAATTATTGAGAGTGAGTTGAATATTAAAAAAAAACATTTTCCCATACGTCCGCGCTCAGAGAGAGCCGTTCCATTCTTCTCAAAAAGTCTAATTTCACCATCTGTTTTCATAACACCGAAAAACAAAAGCAAAAAGATAGTGATTTTTGAGAAATCATAGACTAATTAGAAAATAATAATAAATAATATAAATAATCTTAACATTTTTCTATTTTAATTATGAACCTTAACATATAATAATCAATGCGGTAGTAATAAAAAAAAAATTAACTTAGATATTGATGAGTTAAATATATTTTCAAATTACCTCCCTTGCAAAAAAAATACCAAAAAAAAGTTGAATTAATTAGTTTTTTCGACCTAATTTCATGATAATATATCCATTTTTTTCTGGGAATATTAACGAAAACTATATTTGACATTGATCCTTTTAATATGTTTTAGCAGTGTGCGTGTATTTAATATTCTCTTTACGTTATGCAAAATTGTACAAACAGTGGAAATTATAAAATAGCTCTTTGCCGCTATATAAACAAACCCTACTCTAATACATATAATAAGACACTGCGGTGCACTGAAAAGCACAGCGTGGTGCGCAGTTTACTTTTATAGTCCCAAAATCTATAGCGATGACGGACGGAAGGAAGGACACGCTCAGCCCGCTTATATTATAGACTAGCTGCATCCCGTGCTCCGCCACGGTAAATCTTTTTTAAATGTACCAACTTGGGAACAGAACAAAACTAAACACAACACAAACGAACGCAAAAAAAAAAAAACGAAAAAACAAACACAACACTCATAACATAGACACAATTTAAATGCAATCATACAGGCATATTGCTCACAGTCTAGCCCGTAGCGCCAAATCGCGCCCTTTCCGGTGATTTGCACCCCCCTCAAACTTTCGATTTGCACCCCTTCCCCCCTCCCTCCCTAAAACTTTCGATTTCCACCCCCCCCCTCGCACATTTTTTCCAACCCACTTTGGCGCCCCCTAAGGTCGGCACCCGGGGACATATGCCCTCCTCCCCCCCCCCCCCTCTCGCTACGCCTCTCCTATAAAACCCGAAAGATAGAATAATAATTAGAAAACAGTATAAATAATAGGCAATATCTATAATATATACAATATTTCACTTTATCCATTCACGCATTTTTTTCCAGGACTTTAAATTTTAAAAATGTACAATAGAGTTTCATAACTAAAACCAATGCGCACCTAATGAACGTGATGACGCGTCTATAATAGTGCTGAATAGTTGATTAAAAATTATAAGTAATAAACAGTAGGGCCTACATTCAGTGAATAAAATAAATAAAAGATTGCCTTTTATCAATCCATGCTAATTATAATTTTCTAACAATAATTTCCTCTTACACATCCGAATAATTTGCATTCACATTTTGCTAATTATATTATTGCAACACTAATTCCTTCTATGACGAACGTATATTTGCATTCACATTTTTTATTAGCGTGAGTTTAATGTAATTTTAAATTACCTCCTTTGTCAAAATTAGAAAAAAAGAGCTAAATTAATTTGATTTTTCTACCGTACTGTTATTATGTTATTAAAATGTATCCACTTTTTCTAGGAATATTAACGAAAACTATATTTGACATTGATCCTTTTAATATGTTTTAGCAATGTGCGTGTATTTAATATTTTCTTTACGTTATGCAAAATTGTACAAACAGTGGAAATTATAAAATAGCTCTATGCCACTATATAAACAAACCCTACTCTAATACTTATAATAAGACACTGCGGTGCACTGAAAAGCACTGCGTGGTGCGAATGTTTACTTTTATGGTTCCAAAAGCTATAGCGATGACGGAAGGAAGGAAGGACTGACACACTACCTAGCCGCTTATACTCTACTTACAATAAAACAATGCGATGCAAATAAATGTACGGCAAGTGGTGTTTACTTTTATGGTTCTAAGAAAACACATTGGTAATGTAATTAGAATCACCACCGAAAAACACGCTTTTCACAGGCGTCCGCGCCCAGAGAGAGAGCCTTTTCAGCATTCTCTATACTATAATTCTAAAATTTCACCATCTGTTAACACCGAAAAACAAAAACAAAAAATAGTGATATTGATAAATCATAGACTAATTAGAAAATAATATAAATAATCTTAACATTTTTCTATTTTACTTATGAACCTTAACATATAATAATCAATGTGGAAGTAATAAAAAAAATTAACTTAAATTATTGAGAGTGAGTTGAATATTAAAAAAAAACATTTTCCCATACGTCCGCGCTCAGAGAGAGCCGTTCCATTCTTCTCAAAAAGTCTAATTTCACCATCTGTTTTCATAACACCGAAAAACAAAAGCAAAAAGATAGTGATTTTTGAGAAATCATAGACTAATTAGAAAATAATAATAAATAATATAAATAATCTTAACATTTTTCTATTTTAATTATGAACCTTAACATATAATAATCAATGCGGTAGTAATAAAAAAAAAATTAACTTAGATATTGATGAGTTAAATATATTTTCAAATTACCTCCCTTGCAAAAAAAATACCAAAAAAAAGTTGAATTAATTAGTTTTTTCGACCTAATTTCATGATAATATATCCATTTTTTTCTGGGAATATTAACGAAAACTATATTTGACATTGATCCTTTTAATATGTTTTAGCAGTGTGCGTGTATTTAATATTCTCTTTACGTTATGCAAAATTGTACAAACAGTGGAAATTATAAAATAGCTCTTTGCCGCTATATAAACAAACCCTACTCTAATACATATAATAAGACACTGCGGTGCACTGAAAAGCACAGCGTGGTGCGCAGTTTACTTTTATAGTCCCAAAATCTATAGCGATGACGGACGGAAGGAAGGACACGCTCAGCCCGCTTATATTATAGACTAGCTGCATCCCGTGCTCCGCCACGGTAAATCTTTTTTAAATGTACCAACTTGGGAACAGAACAAAACTAAACACAACACAAACGAACGCAAAAAAAAAAAAAACGAAAAAACAAACACAACACTCATAACATAGACACAATTTAAATGCAATCATACAGGCATATTGCTCACAGTCTAGCCCGTAGCGCCAAATCGCGCCCTTTCCGGTGATTTGCACCCCCCTCAAACTTTCGATTTGCACCCCTTCCCCCCTCCCTCCCTAAAACTTTCGATTTCCACCCCCCCCCCCTCGCACATTTTTTCCAACCCACTTTGGCGCCCCCTAAGGTCGGCACCCGGGGACATATGCCCTCCCCCCCCCTCTCGCTACGCCTCTCCTATAAAACCCGAAAGATAGAATAATAATTAGAAAACAGTATAAATAATAGGCAATATCTATAATATATACAATATTTCACTTTATCCATTCACGCATTTTTTTCCAGGACTTTAAATTTTAAAAATGTACAATAGAGTTTCATAACTAAAACCAATGCGCACCTAATGAACGTGATGACGCGTCTATAATAGTGCTGAATAGTTGATTAAAAATTATAAGTAATAAACAGTAGG